ATGTAATTTGTTGAGTTGAGAGAGGGCACTTTTTCTGTACATATGGTGGGGCCAATGCACAATCCTTATTAGAGTCACCTTCTCTTCTTTGTACCTGTTCCAAGGCAGTTAGACAGGCTCCTGCCCTTCAGTCCTAGCCAGACGTTTGTGCTAAGGGAATTCAGTTATGTGTACCCAGCTGGGCACTTCCTGGTAACTGTAAAATGCTTTATAAGATCATGATTACTGAAAATACATTTTGGAAAATTTTAAATGTTCGTGAGCAGCTTAAATACTTTTGTATCTAGCCTTTTTAAAATATCTTGTTACATTTTACTTTTTTAAATAAATTACAGAAGAAATGTCAAGTAATTGAAGAAACAGTTTTTATTTATATACTTATACATTTTTAAAGCTAAGGGCAATGCACTGACATGGTTATATTCATACATTTTTTTAAGTTTATATATGTATGTATGGACTATAAGAAAGTTAAGAAAACCAGTCCACATTTTACAGTTAGCAGAGAATCATGAATGGCACCCAGCCAGGCTTTTTCTTTTTATAAGCAGAAGTGATGTGTAACCATCAATTGGCACAGAAAGTTTGAGTTAACTGAAAACTAAGTGACAGGTTCTTTTGTTTTGTTTTTTAAATGACTCTATGTGGTCTTTGAACAATGCCCTTTATACTTTGTGGACTTAGCAGTTTTATTCAGTGGGATAACAAGGGACAGAAAGTCCCCCTAGAAGTTGTCACTTTAAATATGAAAAATGGGAGAAGTTCTGTCGTCTCTCATCTATCTTCTCAATTCCTGCTAGGACTTCTGGCCTTGGATAATTGTCATGTCTAAAGAAAGGAACTGCACTTTTACTATATAACTTCTTTTAAAGACTAAAGCGCATGGCATTCTCAACCCTGCTAACACTAAAATATTTGAAATTGAACCATTGTAGTGAAGGTTACTTAAAACTTAGACAACACCATGATGTATTATGTGTGTAAATTAGCCAAAGTGAGACATTGGTTGTTATGCCCAAATATTATTCTGAATTAAGAGCCAACAAGCATTTGAAAGGTATAAAACATCAACGTAAGTCCTGTGTGCACACAACAGGCTTGATCAGTAGTAATGAACAAGTTAGTCCTGTGTGCACACAACAGGCTTGATCAGTAATAAATGAACAACTTAGTCCTGTGTGCACACAACAGGCTTGATCAGTAGTAATGAACAAGTTAGTCCTGTGTGCACACAACGGGCTTGATCAGTAATAAATGAACAAATTAGTCCTGTGTGCACACAACGGGCTTGATCAGTAGTAATGAACAAGTTAGTCCTGTGTGCACACAACGGGCTTGATCAGTAGTAATGAACAAGTTAGTCCTGTGTGCACACAACAGGCTTGATCAGTAATAAATGAACAAATTAGTCCTGTGTGCACACAACAGGCTTGATCAGTAGTAAATGAACAAATTAGTCCTGTGTGCACACAATGGGCTTGATCAGTAGTAATGAACAAGTTAGACTAGGGCACTTGAAACCCTAATTGCAAACTTATTTTTAATAGTTACTAAAAGAATAAAAATATTTAAAATAATGTGTTATTGAAAATAATGCAGAATGTCTGAGGTCTTCCTAAATCAAGAGTTTGGTTAAAATGCTTTTAGTAATAATAAAAGCAGTGAGGCTTTTTTTTAAAGTTAAGCATAAAAGGGCTCTAAATATAAAATAAAGTCATATAAAACAAGGTTCTCTTTTGTTTAGCAATTAAGTGAAACAACTGGAGACAGTTCAGGAAGACCAGGAGGAAACTTGACTGGTGTTTGGAGCTTTGCTACTTCCCACTTTGGCTTGAGAGAGGACAGCATCTCCACTGTAAAGATAGGGTTGTTTTGATGAATGCCATGACAACTACCAGGCTCAAGCTAAAAAATGACATCTTCCTTGAAGAAATAATTCTCCTGCTTTTGTATCGCCAAGATTTACTTGTGGCTTGTTAATGCAGATGCCTGGGCACTGTCTGTCTCTGGTCCCTTTTCTGATACACTAAACAGTGGAAGCCACTCATCTTCATAATAGAGAATTCCAGAGTGAGGACCAGAGAGCATCCTGTTTCACTTGTGGACATAAATCCACTACAAAGTTCTATGCAAAAAGTACAACTGTTCTATGCAAAAAGTACAACTGTTGCTTAATCCTGGCTCTTGCTTGAGCACTGTTGGATGGATGTGCCTTTAGTGCACTGCCTGGGTAGTGGCTGAATGTACTTACACAGTATGTTGTATCTTTAAAATTCATAGGGACCACAAACTCAAAAAGATGGCACTTACTGCCTACCTAGCCTGGTGGCTTGAATTTGATCTCCCAAACCCATCCACAGGTAGAAGGAGAGAGCCAACTGCGGGTTGTTCTCTGCCCTCAACCTGTGCATGCATGGTGACGTTCACAAATAATAATAATAATAAAACAGCATGGATAAAGATTTCATGAGCCTCTTTCACAAGTGTAGCATCCAATCAATGGGTTAGCTGTATTTTGATGCAAGTAGACTTTCTCCAGGAAAAAAAAAAAGTGTTCTTGTATTTGAAATGTCTGATGCAAAAAAGTGAAACTTGACTATTAATGTTAAACTGTGACAGGCTTGTGGCATGGGAATGATTAGGTGAAGTTTATGAATCACACCTAATTCTTTTAAAAAATAGGATCTTTTTAAAATAAGTGCCCTGTAGCACAATTAATAAAAACCCAGAGACAGAAACTGGTGTTCTACCTGAAGGTCAGAAAAGCAAAACAACCAGCCACTCCTGGCTCTTACCTCTACCTCTGTCGGAAATGGCAATCCTTCCTCCAGGAATCTCAGAATGAGACTGTGCTGTGTCTGGAAGCTGTCTGTTCCTGTTTTATAATGCTCTCTAGCTCTGGGATCAAAGGCGTGCACCACTACCACCTGGTTTCTATGGCAGACCAGTGGGGCTGTTTTCCTTTCTGATCTTCAGGCAAGCTTTGTTAATTAAAATATAAATGAAATGAAATATCACTACAGCGCCTCATGCTTCTGTGTAGCCAGCAATTCAAAGTTTTTTTTGTCTCGTAGAATTGGCTTCTAGCCTACAGAAGTGGAAGGCGTATGTAAATATTGTTGCCATGTTCATTAATACATCTAGGGGATAAGTACATTTGTGTTACTGTTCATTAGAAAAATTCTGCCCACAGAAAAAATAATAATCCTCAACTACCAAAAAATGGATTGGGTAACATGAGGCACACGTAATAGTTGCCTCAATATGGAGAACAAGAAAACAAATGAAGCCGGGCGATGGTGGCGCACGCCTTTAATCCCAGCACTCAGGAGGCAGAGGCAGGCGGATCTCTATGAGTTCGAGACCAGCCTGGTCTACAGCGCTAGTTCCAGGACAGGCTCCAAAGCCACAGAGAAACCCTGTCTCGAAAAACCAAAAAAAAAAAGAAGAGAAAACAAATGAAAGCATAGGTCACCAGATTGCTGCTTCATGGTAAGTATAGAAGCAGCAAAACTTAGAACGGGGACAGCAACAAACACTGAGCAATGCAGCACAAGGAGCTGTGTAATGTAGAAAGTGGTCTAGAGTATGTGCCCATTAGTGTGTTTGCTACGCTTCAGAGCCAGCATAACCATTTCACAAAAGCTTTTTATATGCTTTGAGAAAAAGGCAGAAACGAACCTTTAATTTTAAAAGATGCATGGTGCAGGAGTGTAGTTCACATACGTACATGTTTAGCATGTGTGAAACCTTGAGTTGAAGGCTCAGCACGCCCAAAGTCCAGGGATGTGGAGGCCAGAGGCCAGCTCTGTTGAGTTGGTTCTCCTGACTTTAGGTGGGTTCCAGGGTTCAAACTCATGTACTTAAATTTGAGTATCTTCCACAGCTACTTAATAATGAAGGCATCTTGAAAAAATGTTCTTTAAAAAGGAAAATTATATTTATTCTTATCCTATGCATATGGGTCCATGGAGCCCAGAAGAGGGCCTTGGGTACTTTGGAACTAGTCTGCCTCCACGCGGGTGCTAGGAATTGAACTTAGAGCAGTTGTTGCTCTCACCTGCAGAGCCCCTGGCTTTCCCATTGCCTTGTATCAAGTTCGCATTATCCTGCACATAGCCTATTCCAAGTGGCTCTAGTCTACACCTCCAGATGTGCGGACCTCCTTTCCATTCGAGGTCTTTCTGAATAGTAAACATGGCCTGTTAAACAGAACTCCTATACTTAAGTTTTAAAATGAAGAGTTTGGTGCTTGGCAATTTTCTGCAAGGATTTTATTTGGATTGAGAAGGGAGCCTCAAGGCTCACTCCCGCAGGGCCACCTAGGGAACTGTTTGCAGAAACAGTGGATATTTGTGCCCAGGTGCCCTGTTCTGTTTAGAGCGGACTGACTATTCGAGGCTGTGGCAGATCCCTGCATTGTCCTCATGACGCTGATTTTGTAGATGTGAGCCATGGGGTGGTGAAGGCATCTGAGAATAAAGGAAATCTGTGAAAGGGTCAGTCACGTGTGCATGTACGCTCTTGTAGACCTGGTACACGTCCGGGAAGCAGGAAGTAAAGGGGCTCTTGCAGGAATTTTGGAAGAGTCTATCAAATAGAGGAGTCCAGACTTAAGGATGTTCACACAGTGGATGGCTCTGCAGCCACCTGGCAGTGTCTAGGGACCCTGGAGCGCCACCTCCCGTGTGAGCGTCCCTTACCGTGTGGCCGGCGAGGGACTGTGGATAGGTGGTCCGGGTGAGCAGGTCGTGCGGACTGCAGCCGACACTCGGCAGGCCGGGCGGGAGCTTCCGGCTTGGGTCCGCAGTGGTGGGCGGGGCCTGTGACGTCAGGGGCGCGGTGGATCGCTGGGCTCGCCTGGGAGCAGGCGCCGAGGGAGTCATGCTCGGTGACGGGAAGCTGGAGGGGGCTAAGGACGGAGTGGGGCGGGGCTGCCTGGGGGAGGAGCCTTTCGGAGGGGGCGGGGCCGCCTGGGGGAGGAGCCTCTCGGAGGAGAAGCGGCCGTGGGTGGAGCCGCCCGGAGTCCCCCGGTCAATGGGCCGGTCAGAACCCGGGAGCGACGCGGCTAGGCGGGCCCGGAGCCGGAGAAGGGTCGCGCCGGGCGGAGCGGCCAGCCGCCGCTAGTGTCTGCTCTCCGCTCCGGCTCGGAACTAAGTCGCCGCGCTCAGGCCCTGGGCTTCCGTAGCTCTGGCGGAGTCGGCGCGATGGGCGAGCCGGAAAGGCCGGCGGCGGCCAGGCCGGAGGAGGATGAGGTAAAGGTCGCAGTCGCTCCATCCTCCGCCGCAGGGAGGGTCAGGCCCGAACTTCGGGTCCTGGCTCGGCTGCGGAGTTCTGATCGTCACCGTCGGAGACCCGGTGCCGCCGGAAGGAAGCGCCCTCGCTGCAGGCTGGTGGGGGAGGGGCGCAAGGCTCGCTCGGGGCTGGCCCGGTGTCTCCTGCTCAGGAACCCTGGCCGGGGCTGCGGCTGCTCTCCCCTCCGCCGCCGAGGAGCGCGTGTGCAGGTGCATGAGGGGGCAGATGGCAGGCGGGGTCGCGAGGCCAGCTGGGCGCAGACCGAGCTGCAACGGAGTCCTCGGGGTGTCTGTTCCTTCACAGAGAATGAAGTGCTGTTATGCAAAGTGCCACGGAGCTTAATAAATCTAAAATTAACTTACTTATCCCCTTTGCTTCTGTGCTACCAGAGAGAAGAAGGTGATAACACACATAAATACCATATTAGAAGAGTACATAGTCATTTAAGTTATTATTGTATAGTTTCCAGTACCCCATTTTTGGGGGGCAAATATTCTAAGATATTTGGAATATATGAGTAATACGTTTTTGTATCTCAGTGTGGTATCTTGAATTTAATATTATGGCAATTTGGAAGGGACATAAAAGTTTCAGCCCACGGACATTCGTGCTTAATTAAACTGGCATTTCTAGACAAAGATGTAGATGCTAGGTTGATTTTTAGTTTGTAAACATTTAGTAATAAGCTGTGACTATCCCTTAGTTTGTTCTCCTTGAAACAAAGGTCCTCATACCAGTTTCTCCACTCAGGTGAAAACTCAGACTTCTCTGGTTTGCCAGTGACACCAGGAGGTTCTGCCCTAACACCTAGAAGTTCACTTTTTTTTTTCTTTTAACTTTTGATTAATAAAGACAGCAGAATTTTAGGCCAGGATGAATTTTAGTGAGTACTTTTAATGAGTTCAAAGGTTTTTGAGATGCAGGGATATCTGAAACTTCTATCTCTGGATCTGACAGCAGTGGGGCCTACTGGTATCAGAACCATCTGCAGCTACTAATAAAGACCAAGTCCCTGAGCCCACCACCTGTATGTGTGATGAGCTCTGCAGGTGATCTTAGCGCACTGGATTCAAGGGTCATCATGTGTGTGTGAATCCACAGTGTCCATAGCACTCATCAGTTCCTCAGAATGTCCAAGATTGGAAAACCCCGAATGACCCGCCTAAGACTCATCACTAGAACCAGGTTCAACTCCCCAAGTTGTTGACCTCAGCCAGGATTCCGTTGGTGGTGATAGAGAATAAAATGATACTTTTAAAAAGTACGTGGCTGCAACAGCACGCAGATAAGTGGCAGGGACACGAGAGGCAGCCTGTGGAGAAGTGCGGGGTGAGAGTCGGAGACGTGCAGATGCCAGTCTAGATTAGGTTGTGTAGGCAACTACCGGGGAATCATGACCTAGATTTTAATCTTGGCAACTCTTCATACCAGATGACCAGAAGCTAAGACAGAAGAAAATAAAAACACGAGTTTTGAAAAACGTGGTAGACTCTTGCCAAGGATTACTTTAGGTTTTCATGGCTTTGGCTTTGTCTCTCTGCCTTCCGGTTTTCCTGCCCTCCAGTCCTGTTGCCAGCTCTGTCTCTGATTAAATACGTGATTGGTTGTTACTTCCCTAATGCTCATTCAACAAAAATCTCTCAAGCTCTCAATTCCCACTAAAAAAATAAAACTCACTAGCAAGGGCCTATCAAAGTCAAGTTTATTTTTAGTACAATGTTCACATCTTAATTTATGTTCTCAATTTGTACATTATTTGTTAGCAAAATTTAGTTCCTTTCCTTTTACTTTTTCTTTTTTTATTTCTTTTCTTTCTTTCTTTCTTTTTTGTTTGTTTGTTTGTTGAGACAGGGTTTCTTTGTGTAGCCCTGGTTGTCCTGGAACTCACTCTGTAGACCAGGGTGGCCTGAACTCACAGAGATCCTCCTGCCTCTGCCTCCTAAGTGCTGGTGTTAAAGGCGTGTGCCACCACCACCCAGCTTAGTTTCTTTTTCTGATTCATCCTGAACCTGAGGTATCTGTCTTCCAGGTGCCACTTCTATTCTTGTTAATTCCTAGTCAGAAACTCTTGGTGATTATCCATAAGAATCATGTCATGATGTATGTATAATGAGGGCCAGAGGTAAGAAATGATGGCAAGGAGAATTCAGATATGAGCTTCTGTACACTGCCACATCTTTGTAAACCTTTAATTTCCCCCTAGATTGGTTGACATTCAGTGTCTCATTCTTTCTAGAATTCCTCTCTTTGCTGAGGCTGGAGTCAGATCAGACCACTGCTGCTTTTGCTTGTCCTCCCTGCCTTTTAGTCTGTCTCCCCCTGGCTTCCCTACTCTCCACACGTTAGCATTCTCTTCCTCACCCCCTTGTCTTTCTGATTTTTTTTTTTTTTAGCCTGGACCCCACTTACCCCAGACTGCCCTTCAGACTTACTATGCAGCTGAAGCTGACCTAGAACTTCTTCATTGATCTCAGGGCCTAGTTTATGCAGCATTGGGGATAGAACACGGGGCTTCATACGAGGTAGGCAAGCACTCTCCCAAACTAGCTAAGTCTCAAGCGCTATGTGTTGGCATTCTTCAGCGCCTGCAGGCTGTGTCCTCGGCTGTCCTGTTCCCTCCAGTTCTCCCTGGATCATCCGTTCCCTTGGTAATTATTAACACGGTTGCCCTCTCTCTTGTGCCATAGTGTTCTATTTTCAGCTGCCTACTAGAAATCTCTAACCTGAATTGGTTATCATTCTTATTGACAAAACTGACTTTATAGATTGTTTTGAATGTGCTATGCCAGATACACAGATGTACATGTTTGTATCCTTCTACAGTGTTAGAGTTACTGGATGATGATAAGTTTGCAGGGGACAGCAGTTTCAGTGGCAGCATTATGGCAGGTAACCTTTGGTGATCTGGCTGAGGAAAAGGTTCTTTTGTCTCGGTCTTTTATTAGTATTAACTCTTCTATCACACATTACACAAAAATGTTTCTCTATGCAGTTTATGAATGAATGTGTTAAAGAGGCTACAGGTGAGTAGTTTACTGGTAAAGAAGGAACTCAGAGCCGGCCATGCTGTAGAGACCAGGCTTCAGGAGAGTCAGGATTGCAGGTGGCCATGTAGTTGGCTATAGAGGCAAGGAGGGAAGAACTGGGTTAGAACAAGAATTAGCAAGTGGATGAGTTAGCAGGTACATGTGTTAGCAGGTGCATGGGTGAGCAAGTGGATGGATTAGCAGGTATGTGTGCTAGCAGGTGAATAGGTGAGGTGGATGGGAGAGCAAGTGAATGGATAATCAGGTGAATGGGGGAGCAGGTGGGGGAGCAGGTGAATGGGGAGCATGTGGATGAGTTAACAGGTACATGTGTTAGCAGGCAGATGGGTGAGGAGGTGGATGGGAGAGCAAGTGAATGGATAATCAGGTGAATGGGTGAGCAGGTGAATGAGGGAGCAGGTGAATGAGGGAGCAGGTGAATGGGGGAGCATGTGGATGAGTTAACAGTTACATGTGTTAGCAGGCAGATGGGTGAGGAGGTGGATGGGAGAGCAAGTGAATGGATAATCAAGTGAATGGGTAAGCAGGTGGATTGGGACTAAGCTGATCTGAAGCCCCAAAGACAAGAGTTCTCTGCTTGTCAGTTACACACACACACACACACACACACACACACACACACACACACACCAGGCGGTAGGTAGGTAGGTATGGAGCTATTCTCATCACAGTTCTAGGTACCCACCACCTTATGAAGTTCATGTGAGAGATTTATACTCCTCTAATCTGTTATGTCTGATATGTTCTTGAGCCTGGGTTTCCGAATAAGATTGTAGTGCTCTCGTGTGCCCCACAGTCTCAATTCACCTGGCACGTGTACAGGGAGGTCCCCTTTCTACTACCAGGAACAAGTCATTTGTCAGTCTGTACTACAAAGGTAGTGCTGGACAGACAGTGGTGTTGCTTGTCCACCTAGGAGCACAGACATCCTCCACCCATAAAAGCACAGCCTTAAGCCACTTTTTTGTATACGTTATAGAGTAACTTAGAGTAGATAGCGTTCTCTCAACAACAGATACTTTGTATTAATAGCTTTGTTACTGGCGCTTGAGTAACTAGAGTAGATAGCTTTCTCTCAACTACAGATACTTTGTATTAATAGCTTTGTTACTAGCGCTTGGCTAGTAGTAACAGTTGATCTACGTTGTGTTAAACTGATTGAGAGTGGACCAGTTCTGGTCTGGTTATTCAGTTGTTCGCATATTGAGCATTTTCTATGCCCTGTTATTTCTGGTAAAAATCTTGCAGTTGCAGGGGTTGAATATTTTTAGCAAGAACTATTTGTTCTATTTTTTAAAGTTCATTTGTGTGTGTGTGTGTGTGTGTGTGTGTGTGTGTGTGTGTAGGAGGCTATATCTATGTGTTTGGGTAGGAACACATATCCCACTGTGAATATATGGAAGTCAGAAGACAATAAGGACAAGAAATGGGAAATACACTAATTTAAAATTTGTCTCTTTTCAGTTTCTTTTCAAACCCTGCCTCATTTCTACAAGGGATCATAAAACACAAATCCAATATTGTTACTTGTCTGATTAAAAATCTTTGGTGAAAAAGAATAAACAAACAAACAAACCTTCAGCGCTTCCAAAAGTTACATTTAGAGGCTAGATGACCTGCTCCAAAGTTTCTAAAAATTAATTTCTTAATTTCCATTTAGTATGCAAAATAGACATACCCAGCCTAACTTCAGATAAAATTTAGCCAAGGAATAATATTTTAGAATTCAAAAGTTAATTTGTCATTTTTCTATAAAATAATGACATTGATTTTTTTTTAATTAACAAAGCATTGTTTCAGAGAAGTTATTGGACAATAGCTGTGGTGAGATTAGTATTTACATTCAAGATCCTTTCTGTGGCATTAATACTGGACCCCAATTTCCAAATAAAATCCTAAGTGTGATGCCATTTGATAAATTCACTTTATTTTTTATTTTTTTATTCTAGTATAATAATTTTAAGTTTTTATTTATAAAATTATAAAATAAGTCAAAGAAATGGCGAGAGTTGACAGACTTATTTTGAATTTAGATATAAATGGAAGGTGAAGATTTATATCTAACCAGCCAACATTTTCTTTGTATATTATCAATTCTCCCTGGTGTTTTTTGTTTGTTTGTTTTATTTTCAAGACAAAGTTTTTCTGTGTAGCACTGGTTTGCCTAGAACTCACTCTGTAGACCAGGCTGGGCTCAAACTCAGGGATCCATCATCCTCTGCCTCCTGAATGCTGGGTCGATGCACAGCATTAGATAGTCTCTTAATCATCTTGCTGTTAATCAATGCTATTGGTTTGTCCATCATTGACATACATGGTAGCCAGAGGCTTCAGACTGTGTGGCCAGTAGCAGGCTGCTTCCCTGCACTGTCCACTTCTCACACTATGTCGACCTTGCCAGGGTGAGACCTCTCTGCAGCCCTGTGATGTAATGAAATGTTGTATAAGTTAATGGCAAGTGTAGAAAGAAACCTACCGCCAGCAAGACTTAGGTGGAACGCTCTGGGAAATGCAGTAAAGGGAGCTGCTGGAAACAACCGTGCTAAGTTCATCATTGTGGTACATGGCTATGAATAATCCCAGCGCACAGGAGACTCAGGTGGAGAGTCACAGTGTCTAAGCTAGCCTGGGCTACATAGTAAGACACAGCTCAAAAAGGAGAAGCAAATAACAATAAGAATATCCTAAAGAATGGTTTCTTACCACAGGCCTGCTGAGGGCATTCTGGAGAACCTTACGCGAACCTCTTCAAACTGCTAAAATATGCATTATGAAATTTGTCAACTCAGGTCCAGTTGTCACATGATAGAATATATAATAATACCTTCCTGATGTGGCTTCTTTTAATCCTTCATGAATTAGTGTCATGTTGCATTTTTATCAGAGGGGAACAGGAAGAAAGTCTATACAAATGTCACTTACATTCCAGTTTTAAGGTACTAGTCTTCAAAAGCTTTCCAAGTCCTGAGACCAGCCGGGTAGGTATTCACTAGGATGTAAAGACTCCAAGGGTTACTGCTTGTATTTTCCTTCCTGCCTTTCAGAATGCCCCATCTAGTAAATGGGATGATGGTAGAGATGTCTAGTCCTATAGATACCTCAATAGTATCATACAGAGCACAGGAAAAATGCAGAATAATATTTCAATGCAATTGATATATTTCTAAAATAATTAAAAGAGTAATATGGGGCCACATGGATTCAAAATCCTTGTTGACTGAGTTAGGGAGATAGTTCATTTGTTAGTGCCTGCTTTGTAAGTATGATAATCTCAGTTGAGATTTCCAGCACCCAACTAAAATCTAGCGTTGATATGTATCCAGCACTGGGGGGCAGGTGCAGAGATAGGTTGATGGCTAGACCAGCCAGTCTAGCCAACCAGGGGCTCAGGGTTCAGTGGAGTAGACAAAGACATCTGATGACACACACCCCTTCTGGTGACACACACCTACATACCTACACATGCACACATATAAACACACGCCTACACACACACACACCTACACACATACTGCTCATGCACACATACTGCATACCCACATACACACACATGCATACACACCACACACACATACTGTTCATGTATATACTGTATACCCACTTACACACACATGCATACACACCACACACACATACATACTGCATACCCACATACACACATATGCATACACACCACACACACACACGACACCCTACACACTTCTTTTTTTTTTAATTTTATTTATTATGTATACGCTATTCTGTGTGTCTGCCTGCATGTCTGCCTGCAGGCCAGAAGAGGGCATCAGATCTCATTTCAGATGGTTGTGAGCCACCATGGAAGAGCAGGCAATGCTCTTACCCACTGAGCCATCTCTCCAGCCCCCTACACACCTCTTTACTCGAGACTTACGCCTTCTCAGTTTGTCCTCAGTTCTAGCTAATGGTGTATTTGAGCATCTATCTCTGTCTCTCCCTCTCTGAGTTTCACTGTAACTCAGAAAGTAACTTTAATGAATTATTTGTTTGTTTGCTTATTCATTCATTCATTCATTTATTTATCAAGACAGGATTTCCTTGTGTAGCTCTGGCTGTCCTAGAACTCACTCTGTAGATCAGGCTGGCCTCGAACTCACAGATATATCTGTCTGCTTCTGCCTCCAGAGTGCTGTGAAGTTACCCAATGGTTGGATACCTGAAAGGATTCTGTACCTCAGACTTCTTCCCCAGTCTGTGCTATCTCTCAGACTTTCCCCAGATGTATATTTAAGTTTGAGTCAGAGAGAAATTTCTACATTTAAAAAAAAGTGTTTTTACTTTGATTTTTTTTTTAAAGCAGTTGTCTTCAGATACAAATGAAAACACAGAGAGGTCAAATGAAGAGCCTCTTCTAAGAAAGAGTTCCCGCCGGTTTGTCATCTTTCCGATCCAGTACCCTGATATTTGGAAGATGTATAAACAAGCACAGGCGTCTTTCTGGACTGCAGAGGAGGTATGTGGCATGTCTGCATCGGTGTTCCTTCCTGTGTGTTCAGTGCTTGCTTGCCTTACAGGGCATCGAAATATTTTTACTCATAAGAAACATTAAATAAGATATAGCTCAGAATTAATATAGATTCTTATTTCTCAATAATACATATAGCTAATTTTTATTCAACTTAAATTGAACGTAATTTAGTGTCTGTAAATAAGTTTCTTGGTACAAGGAAATGCCATCTTATTCTGCCAGATTTTTGCTTTTGTTTCTGAGACAAGGTTAGTCCAAGGTTGACCATGTTAGTCCATGGTCAAAATCCCTTTGCCTTTACTTTTAGTATATTATAGAAGTATATATAGCATACTATATATATAATATATAGTATATTATATAAAATAGAAGACCATTTTCTATTTTTAAGATTTATTTATTTTTATTCTGTGTGTATAAGTTTGCCTGCGTGTGTGTGTGTGTGTGTGTGTGTGTGTGCGCGTGTGCACCACATGTGTTACTGGTGCCCTCAGAGACCAGCAGAGATTGTTAGGTCCCCAGGAATTGGAGTCACAGGTGGGTGTGAACTGTCATTGGGTGTTGGGAACTGAACTGGAGTCCTCTGCAAGAGCAGCAAATGCTCTTAACCAGTGAGCCATCCCTGCAGTGAGCCATCCCTGCAGTGAGCCATCCCTGCAGTGAGCCATCCCTGCAGCCAGTCTACCCATATTTTTTTTTTCTTTTTAAATAGATTCTTAGTTTTCTGTGACTAAATAAGACCAGTCTGGTTTTTGCTTGCTCACTTGTTTGTTTTTATAGTTACTCATTTATTTATGTGTGCATGTGTTTGTAGAATTGAAGTGATCTCACCTTTGGCAGCAAGCACCTTTACCCGCTGAGCCATTTCGCCAGTCCTAACACCAGTTTATACTTATGGTCAGTAGAATAAACAAAATTGCAGCCGCTGTTTAAAAGATGAAGTGTGAGAGTGAGACAGTGGTGGCTCACACCTTTCACCCCAGCCCTGCGGAGGCAGACACAGGCGGATCCCCAGTGTGAGGCCAGCCTGGCCTACAGATTTCCAGCAGCCAGAGCTACACAGAGAAACCCTGGCTCAGAAAAACAAGAAACAGCAACAACAAAAGTGGAAGGGTGAAAACCTTAAGGACCCTCACTGGCTTTTTTTTTTTTTTTTTTTTTTAGTGGTTCTTTATTTATAAGGTAGGCTGAAGCAGTTATTACAGTGTAGAAGGGAGACACTTTACACACTGTTATTATACAAGTTTAGAACAAAAACTGCACAGGGAGAGGTCAACTCTCAATACAAACTAGCCACAATAATTTACTTTAGAAAGGCATTTCTAAAGTAAGGCTGTGACACTGCCTTTACGATATGCAAAAACACAAACAGTAAGTTGAGCATCCAAACTGCCTAGGGGAAGAGACAGAAATCTTTAATAAATAAATAAATTAAAAAAAAAAACACAAACAGAACTACCCAGGGCGTTTGTCATATTCTTTCTACATAGCTTTAGAGGGGGACACAACTGCGGTCCTGTGAGCAGTCTGGCCCCCTGCAGTACACGCAGCTTTAGAGGGGGACACAGCTGCGGTCCTGTGAGCAGTCTGGCCGCCCTGCAGTACACGCAGCTTTAGAGGGGGACACAGCTGCGGTCCTGTGAGCAGTCTGGCCCCCTGCAGTACACGCAGCTTTGAGCCTGAGTTCACAGTCTAGCAGAGCGCAGCTGCTGCAGCAGCGCAACCACTGGCTGCTTACTATAAATGTGACTTTTTTCCACTCTCAGAGTGAGCTCACCACATAGGTTAGACAATGCTTGCTGGTTTAAAAAATACTTATGCAAATGATTGCTGTATGGTTTACTTAAACACACATATAGTTGTCGTCTTTATTATTTAATTATTTCTCATTGCTTATGACAGGCACATAGTACCCTCACTCTGTATATGTATCCATTAGCATCTCTGTCTCTGGAGAGCTGTGTCTTTGTGAATTGATGTCTTTAGCTCTGTATGCCTGTCAGTCAAGAGACCAAATCTGGGCGGAAAAGATGGTTCATTGGACAGAAGCACTTTCTGAACAAGCCTGGTGGCCTCAGTTTGATTCCTGGACTCACTCCTGAATTTTCCTCTGATCTCTACACATGTGTCATAGCACACACGTGATCTGTTTTTCTACCCTGCACCCTCATACACATAGATAGATAGATAGATAGATAGATAGATAGATAGATAGATAGATGGATGAAAGGTGGCTTAGAAAACAGACCAAGCTGATCTATGGAACTAACACCCTGTGAAGAATGCAGGGTCTGAGGCCAGGCTGCTTCAATGCAAATCCTGCTCTGCCACGTACTGTCTGTGGAAGTGGCTTCCTTTTCCTCCGCATCTCACCGTTAAACTGGCTACTAGTATGTGGCACATTGGGTTGTTATGAGGATCAATGGAGTAGTTATAATCATATTTGACATTTGATAAGCACTAAATAAATGTGAACTATGACTTCATAAAAGAAATTTTAGCCTAGAATTTAAAGCACCAATGTCTGAAATTTCTTTACGTTATTTTCAGATATTTACATATCTTTGTTATACTGTCAATATTGCTATATATTGTAGTTGATATATGAAGCAAAACACCCAACTGAAACAAATACCCAGTGTTTTTATAGTAGTCCAGGATGGTCTGTACACCTGACTTACCTATCTGCCTGTGGTTTTTAGAAAGTTTTTGTTAGATATGGTTCAGTAGAGCACACAGTTGGTCTTTTTGTTTGTCATGTTTAAAAAAGGAACTAGTGATATTTGGGTTTCTCAAAATTCATTGGAAATTAATTGCTTCTTTTAAAAACAATATTAAATGTCTTATGACCAGGATATACTAATTTAAAAAATTAAAACGTAAGTTGATATGGTTTTTGCAGGAAGATTCAAATACATGGTTTGAAAGGAAGTCAAAGATATTTTTAGTTTCACATATTAAACAAATTATGTAAAAAATAGTTAACTAACTTTATATTCTAGTTTTTAAATCAGTGGTTGAATTAATTCCAAAATAATAGGCCCTGACTCAGAAGACAAAGTATAGGCTTGGAAGTTTTCTAAAAGCCAGTCAGGTAATTCTGATAATAAGCTTTCTGTTACTATGACAAAAATACCTGAGAAAATTAAGTTATACAGTAACTGCCACAGGGTAGCAACCAAGCCTTTGCTTTAACACATGGGCCTCTGGGGAGCCGTGAGGGTCGAAAGCTGTAGCAGCAAGTCTGGAATCACTGTTTAGGTGGTGAAATTGAGGATGAGCTCATATGAGATAAAATAGACGAGGAATTTTACTTCTAGAAGGAAATATAACCATTATTATTTAACAGTACAAGTAAAATGTATAGGGCATTTTAAAGCTCAGTGTTTAAAGAGGCAAATTTAGTATTTAAGACTAGACATATTGCAGTATTAAATTTAATATCAGGAATATAGTATATGAGAACAGGAAAGATTTAACCTGAGTTGAGCTGATAGTAGAAGGGAACTTGGCATTTGCTGGTATATTTTATAAAGTGGAGACAAGTATTTCCCCTCCTCATCCTACTGTGTTTCTAGAGCTTAGCCTACTGTCTGGCATGTATTGAGTGGCCAGAAAATATTAGAATATAGCAGGAAAAGAGTTTCAGGAAAGGATACAATGACTGAAGGTTAGAATATTGGTCTTTTTGTTTTTTGAAAGGTCATGAAGAAATTTGGTTAGAATAATTAAAGAATCAAAGCCAGCAGATTTTTTTTTTTTACAAAGGACAGTTTTATATTTCAAGTATTTGCCACATTACTGTGAAACACACTTAGAGGTTTTTTATAAAACAATATAAGAGCTATGCACTGTTGTTTTCTCCGAATTAGCAAATTGAGCCATTAATCCCCAGTGTGATGCTGTTTGGAGGTTGGGCAATGGGAGGTAATTTGGTAATGAGAATAGTAAGGGTAAAGGTCTCATGAGTGGGATTGATGTCTTTATAAAAAAATATCAGAAGGGAGTTTTCTCTTTGCCCTGTGACCATATGGCAAGAAGGCACCGTCTAAATAACTTCTTGAAAATGTTCGCTTTGGGTGCTGGAGAGATGACTGAGGAGTTAAGAGCCCTGGCTGCTTTTCTAGAGGACCCAGGTTTGATTCCCAGGACTCACATGGTGACTCAGAATTATCAGTAACTCCAGTTCCAGGCGATCTAATACTCTTCTGGCCTCTGTGGGCAGCCAGCATCTACAGAGTACAAAAAAACCACACATGCGGATAAACCATCTGTACACATAAAAATAAAAAAAAAAAAAAACTACCGCTGTTCCATCATGGTTATTTCCATGACCAAAAACAACTTAGGGAGGAGAGGGTTTATTTCATCTTACACCTTGTAGTTGATCATCCAGGGAAGTCAGAGTAGGTACTCAAGGCAAGAACCCGGCTGCTTACTGACTTGCTCTCTGTGCCTTACTAAACCTGCTTTCTTTTTTTCTTTTTTCTGAGACAAAGTTTCTCTGTAGCTCTCAAGCCTGTCCTGGAACTAGCTCTTATAGAACAGACTGACCTCAAACTCACAGAGATCCACCTGTCTCTGCCTCCTGAGTGCTGGGATTAAAGGCGTGCGCCACCACCACCTGGCTAAACCTGCTTTCTCAGCACCTAGGACCACTGGCCTAGGGGTGGAACCGACCCTGGTGGGCTGGACCCTCCAACATCAATCATCAATTAAGAAAATACTCTACAGGCTTGTACACAGGACAGTATGGTGTTGGGAAGGGGCACATGACACTAGCCAGCACAACTGACCCCTTGTCAACTTGACACAAACATTTTACTAATAAACCATAACCATTTCTTGTTCTTCCACAAACCTTCACATTAATAATAGTATTATGATATGAAACATTCCAACTTTTAAAAATCCCGTAGTCTTTACAAATTCAAACACTTAAAAGGTTCAGTCACTTTAAAATATCCAAAGTCTCTCTGAAGCTCCAAAGTCTCTCCAAAAGTTTGAAATCTTTTTACAATGAAATCTCTTTAACAGTGGCCTCAAGTTAAAAATTAAAAAAAAAAAAAAGTTCCTTTCTTATTCCAAGAGGAGAGTAAAGACTGTGGGACAATGGTCTTGTACCCTGTAAAGATTTGTCAGATGTATGGTTTAATAAATCGCTGATTTGTCAATAGCCAGGCAGGAAGTATAGGCAAGGGTGATAAGGCAGGAAGGAGAGGCAGGGTAATGAGAACAGGAGAATTCTGGGAAGAGGAAAGGCTGAGTTTGCAGTTGTCACCCAGACACAGAGGAAGCAAGATGAGAATGACTCACTGATAAAAGGTACCAAGCCATGTGGCTAATGCAGACAAGAATTATGGAATAATTTAAGATGTAAGAATCAGTTAATAAGAAGCCGGAGCTAATAGGCAAACCAGTTTATAATTAACATAAGCCTTTGTTTATTTTTTTGGGATGGAATGACTGCAGGACTGGGTGGGACAGAAACCTCTGTCACCAGGAAAGAACAAGGACATAGTCACAACCAATCAAAGCAAAATCCAAGTCCAACAGTACAAAAAGTTCAGCGTTGGCCATCTGGAATTCACTCACAATATTGGGCTCCTCCAGAGGGCCCAGGCTATTTCTGCTCCAGCCTTTGCCACACACATATATCTCCTAGCCACAGACTTGTTCCACTCCACAGCTTCTACTGTTCTTTCTAGTTATCCACAGCACTGGCATCTCCTACACACTGGGCTCACCACTGTATCTGGGCTGCACCTTTACCGATAGCCTTTTTTTTTTTTGGCTCTCTTCAGAGCCTCTAATCCTGCCAGATGCTGCTAGGCTCCATTTCTTTCCATGACTCCTTCTTCCTGGGGCTTCAGCTGTAACTCAGGCTGCACCTTCATTGGTGGCAATGCCTGGTCTTTCAAGGGACTCTAGCCTGCCACACAGTGCCAAGCTTCAGCTGCTCTTGACGGTGCCTTCATGCCCTCAAAACCCACACCACCTGGGACTTTTATACCACCCAGTTTGAGTGCCAGCATGTGAGGCAGCCTTGGTCCCAGCAGGACCACAAGTTTTGTGTGATGGTCCCCAGGAATATTTCCAGACTTAGGATCCTCCACTGCGTGTCTCTTCTTAATTACTGCTAATTTCTCAGCTCCAGCTAATCAGCATTGATTGTCCTAGTAATGGAAAGGTTTCTCTTCAGTGGTGCTGGTCTCTTGTTAATTAGCCACAGCTGATTTTTCAGCTCCAGCTGAAACCCAGGAAACAATTCAAAATACTGTACAGCACGGTAGTTTTTTAAGGGACACTCAGACTTCCCTCTGAAACTTCACAAGCTAGGCCTCTTTTGTCTGTATCACTCTCAGTTGAGGTTCCCTCTTCCAAAATGACTCTGTCGTCTGTGTCATTCGGTTGTAAACTTAGCCAGTACACACCCAGACCTTGGACTTACAGCTTCCAGAACTTTGAAGAATAAATGATTTTTTTTTAATCTATCCTGTCTGTGGTGACTTGGTGTAGCAGTAAGATCCAGCTAACTCAGTAAGGTACATTTAATGATAATTTGGAAAGTTTGGGTTTTGCCAAGTTTTTGATTCCATTATTCTGTTAGTTACAAAGAATACTTTTAATAAACATTTTCAAAGGTATTTTTATTCTAGAAGAAGCCAGTCTTAGTTAGTGTTTCTATTGCTATGAAGAGACACCATGGCCACAGCAACTCTTATAAAGGAAAACATTTAATTGAGGCTGGTTTACATTTTCAGAGGTTTACATTATCATCTTGGAGGACATGGCAGCCTGCAGACAAACATGGTTCTAGAAAAGGAGCTAAGAGTTTTACTTTTTGATCCACAGGCAACAGGAAGTGAACTGTATTCTACACTGGGTGTAACTTGAGCATATGTGACCTCAAAGCCTGCCTGCACGGTGGTACACTTCCTCTAACCAGGCCAATAGTACCACTCCCTATGGGCCAAGCATTCAAACACATGAGTCTTTGGGAACCACTCCTATTCAAACCACCACAAAGTCATCCCTATAAACTGCCTCAAAACCCAGGTTATTATCTTCCTGACATAATGACTCTTCAGTAAAAAAGTGTAGCTAGCAGTAGCTTAGAGGCTATAATTAGCAGGTGATGAATCTAACTAATATAGTAACTATTGCAGAAACAAACGACTGCTGATAGCTACTTTATATACTTGACTAGTTTTTACTTTCTCTTTCCTCTTTGTTCATTCATTAACTTGGTGCTATGCCACTAGCTTTATTAATTTTAATATGTTAAGAATGTATCCTGGCCAATTAGCCAAAAACCAGATTCCTCCCCTTCTTTCCTCGTTTCTCTCTCTCCTGCCTCACTTCCTTGAACATGCTAGGATTGTTTAGTTTGTTTAAACAAATTTTACTGGATATGTTTAAGGTGTGGATCATGGTGTTGTAAAATACGTGCGCGCGCGCACACACACACACACACTTGCATGCAAGCACACACACGTGTATAAACTTTTTCCTGTTAACAAATAAACATATATACTGTTTTGTGTACTGATTCTTGTCCTCCTGTGTGGCAAGAGCAGCTATAATGTACTAATTAGGTAAATGTTCTGAGTACAGCACGTTATTGTTAACATACCATTTATCTTATTTTGATTTTTGTGATTTTTAATGTATTTTTTTCTGACATAGCTCTTCTTTTTTTTTTTTTTTTTTTGGTTTTTCGAGACAGGGTTTCTCTGTGGCTTTGGAGCCTGTCCTGGAACTAGCTCTGTAGACCAGGCTGGTCTCGAACTCACAGAGATCCGCCTGCCTCTGCCTCCCGAGTGCTGGGATTAAAGGCATGTGCCACCACCGCCCATAGCTCTTCTTTAAAAGAAAACTTTTCTAAACTCTTTAAGTGAAAAGCAACTGGAGTGTGTTTGTCCTAGGTTGACTTGTCAAAGGACCTCCCTCACTGGAACAAGCTTAAGTCGGATGAGAAGTATTTTATCTCCCACATCTTAGCCTTTTTTGCAGCCAGTGATGGAATTGTCAATGAAAACTTGGTAAGATTTTATTTTATTGTTGTCCCTATTTTGTATTTGAATGACAATGTTAAGAAAGTCACCATAGAATCTGCCCGAGGAAAGAAAGATGCCTTGATAATAGACTAGATGAAGCTTAACTTATATTTAAAAAACATTTGTGGTATGTGTGTGTGTCTAGGCAGAGGCCAGAGGAGACACTGGCTGTCTCCCTCTGTTGCTCTCTGCCTTATTCCCTGAGAGAAAGTCTCTTCACTGAACTTGGAGCTCACCAGTATTTGGCTAAGTTGACTGTCCAGAGAACCCCAAGGATCCTCTGTCTCTGATACCTCTGCACTGGGGTTACAGGCTCACAGACACATGCCCTGATTTTTATGTGGGTGCTAGGGAATCCACACTAGGGTTCTCATGCTAATGTAACAAGTATTCTTGCCCAGTAAAGGTGCCTCCCCAGACACCAAAGTTTAATTTCTGAGTATATTTTTCTCATGAAGTTTCAGAGGAAAAGATAGTTGATATCAAATGACTAACAATATATTATGAAATCAAGCATAAATCTTACCAAATACAAATACATACAGTGTGGGGCTGAAGATGTCCCTGACCCTGGACAGCATTGGCTAGCATTATAGAGGCCTTGAGCTTTAGCCTCAGTGATGCGAAACAAAATCCAAAGTTTCACAGAATTCATAAACTTGATTTTTTTTCCTCCAATAACAAACTTGATAGAGAACATGCCCTTAATAGTCACCTGCAGCTCTGCGTAGATCTAGGTTCTGCTCCTCATATAAAAAACATGTTATGAAATGGTGCTGGCATAACTGGATATCAACATGTAGAAGAATGGAAATAGACCCATATCTATCATCATGCACAAAACTCAAGTCCAAATGGATCAAAGACCTCAACATAAAACCAACCATACTGAACCTCATAGAAGAGAAAGTGGGAAGTACACTTGAACGCATTGGCACAGGAGACCACTTCCTAAGTATAACCCCAGTAGCACAGACACTTAGAGAAACAATAAATGGAACTTCTTGAAGCTGAGAAGCTTCTGTAAGCAAAGGACATGGTCAATAAGACAAAACAGCAGCCTACAGAATAAGAAAAAATCTTCAACAACCCCACATAGAACAGAGGACTGATCTCCAAAACATATAAAGAACTCAAGAAATTGGTAATCAAAATACCACATAATCCAATAAAAAAAGGGATACAGACCTAAACAGAGAACTTTCAACAGATGAATCTGAAATGGTTGAAAGATACTTAAGGAAATGCTCAACATCCTTAGCCATCAGAGAAATGCAAATCAAAACAACTCTGAGGACACTAAGGAAGACTTACATAGATATAATCTACATGGAAAGTAGAAAAGACAAGATCTCCTGAGTAAATTGGGAGCATGGGGACCTTGGGGGAGGAATGAAGGAAAGGGGAGAGGAAGGGAGGAGAGTGTTAAAATATATATAGCTCAATAAAAACAATTTAAAAAAAAGAAATTGTGTTCTGATCAGTCAGGAGAAATAGGTTTTTGTTAAGGAGAGTAGAAGTAGAACCATCCAGAATGAGCCAGAAGAACGAATCTGTCCACTATTAGGGAAAAAGCTTTACGAAGCAAAATGACTGTTTTTTAAAAATATTTATTTGTTTATTATGTATACAATATTCTGTCTGTATGTCTGCAGGCCAGAAGAGGGCACCAGACCTCATTACAGATGATTGTGAGCCACCATGTAGTTGCCGGGAATTGAACTCAGGACCTTTGGAAGAGCAGGCAATGCTCTTAACCACTGAGCCGTGTCTCCAGCCCCCCCCCCATCACTGTTTTTGATAATGTTTTAAAATTTACTGTTCAATAGGCAGTGTTTCCACCTAGAAGGTAAATTTGTCCCATTGCTCAGGAGCACAGTTCATGGAGTTGTGGGCATGGGCTCAGTGGGCACCTGCCTAGCATAGGTAAACACTACAGCACTGTGTAAGACGCTGCTGGGTTTGAGCCTCAGAACCACGAAACAACAAGAAAAGACAAAAGAAAGAAAAACATTGATAAGTCTTCTGTGGCCTATTTGTTATATAACAGACATCTTTTTCCACAATATATTATATATTGTATTAAATTTTACGTGTGTGTGTGTGTGTGTGTGTGTGTGTAAGTCAGAGGATGTGGGGGAGCCGGTCCTTCCGCCATGAGGTTGTGTGAAGTGAGAGGACACGGGGGAGCCGGTCCTTCCGCCATGAGGTTGCAGGTCATTAGGTTTGGCAGCAACTTTACCTCCTGAGCCTTCTAATTGATCTCAAGATCAGTTAGATCATGTTTCCAAGGTTGGTCTTAAGATCAGTATCCTCCTGTCCAGCTTCCTGACTGCCAGAAAAGACAAAAGATTTTAAAATGAGAGTTCTGATGTCACGTTATGCTTGTAGTGTGTGACCAGCGTTTTGTGATAGCCCGCTCACCGGATCTCTCTGTTGCCCATGTTTCTGTAGGTGGAACGGTTCAGTCAAGAGGTGCAAGTTCCAGAGGCTCGCTGTTTCTATGGCTTTCAAATTCTCATCGAGAACGTCCACTCAGAGATGTACAGTTTACTAATAGACACTTACATCCGGGATCCAAAGAAAAGGTATTAACGTGTGTGTATCAGAAATCTACAGTTTACTAATAGACACTTACATCCGAGATCCAAAGAAAAGGTATTAACGTGTGTGTGTGTGTTGGGGGGGGGATAGTTATTTATGAAGGCTTAGCTTTTTGCTTACATTGAAAGTAGAATTTATTCCAAAACTACAGTATTAAATATTATTCATGCGTGGAAGATTGTGAGTATAGTTTTTATTGCTCAATAATGTATTAAAGACCTGGCATAGAACCAGATAGATAATGAATACCATTTTAAACCCTTGTATTTATAAATTGAATATCTTCATTTCAATGATTTTTTAGATCCGTTTATATCCAAGCCACTAATCCGAGTTTTGCTTTTATTTCTGTATTCATAACTATGAACATGTAAAATATGGACACACTCGATTTGGTAGTGCACTGTGAGAGTCACAGTCACTCTCTCTGATTATTAAACCTTAGTTCAGGTAACAAACAAATAATAATTTTTCCTTGATGTCTTTTGTTTCTATAGGGAATTTTTGTTTAATGCAATTGAAACAATGCCGTATGTTAAGAAGAAGGCAGACTGGGCTCTGCGCTGGATAGCCGACAGAAAGTCGACGTTCGGTGAGTAGCATTACCTGGAATGCCGTCAGGTTAGCGTGAGAGCGGAGTGCGGGGGCTTTAGTGCGCCAGCGCACTGGACTCTCTAGGAACTGGTTTGAAGTAAGCTGCTCCTTGTGCCTAGTACAGTAGAACCTGGGAAGGCAGGATCTCAGCAGGCACACTGGGGAGTTAAAAAGTCAGCGGAAACCCAATCAAGAGAATTGCAGTCACCGCTGGTTTGTGCCGGTTTAAAGCGCGCCAGGGATAAAGCAAGTCAAGTCCTACCAGTCTTGGAAACAAAGATCTAGTTTCTGAAATGCAAGATTGGTATAGTCAACCAGGACAAGAAACAGTTTGCAGTACCAAGCTTAGCTTTCACTGGTAAGTTAAGTGCAGACATACTTCTGGATAAGCTGAAACCACCACCACCCCAACTTTTTTTTTTATTTTTTATTTTTTTTTATGAGACAGAGTCTCAGGATGTGTGTAGCTCAGAATGGATGGCCTCTAACTCACCTGCTCTCCTCCTTAGTCTTCTGAGCATGGGGACAAGCATGTGTCACTCGGCATAGCCTTAAAATACTTTTACATTAACTTTTGTGTAGAGGAACAGAGGCATGCGTGTGCCATGATACATACATGTGTGAACTGTGGAGGGATAGGGAGAGGTTGGCTAGACAATTGGTAGCTCTCCTTTTTGGGGAGTGGCACTAGAAGTCAGCAGTATAGGGATGGTTTGCTGTGCAGCTCACTTCCTGTTTCCGTAGCCAGCAGAGGATATGCAGTTCTGGGGATGGTTTGCTGTGGGCACACTTCCTGTTTCCATAACCAGCAGAGGACATGCTGTTCTGGGGATGGTTTGCTGTGGGCACACTTCCTGTTTCCGTAGCCAGCAGAGGACATGCTGTTCTGGGGATGGTTTGCTGTGGGCACACTTCCTGTTTCCGTAGCCAGCAGAGGATATGCAATTCTGGGGATGGTTTGCTGTGCAGTACACTTCCTGTTTCCATAGCCAGCAGAGGATATGCAGTTCTGGGGATGGTTTGCTGTTGTCACACTTCCTGTTTCCGTAGCCAGCAGAGGATATGCAGTTCTGGGGATGGTTTGCTGTTGTCACACTTCCTGTTTCCGTAGCCAGCAGAGGATATGCAGTTCTGAGGGCCACCTGCACCCTAACACATTCAAAGGCAGCTCTTCCTTGTGCAGGACTTTGCCCAACCATTGTGGAGACTTCTTGGCAGCTGCTACCCCAAGCAAGAACAAGGAGGGCAGCTGTTCTTTCCCTGCTTCTAAAATCTCACAGTCTATCGTTTTTAGAAAAAGAAAAACTTAAGCATAATCCTTTGAAAATATCTCTTTGTTTTAAAATTTATGTGTTATGCTGTAAGAAGATTCAGTTCCTATAAAGCTAAGAATTTCAAATTATCTGAGTTTTTTTAAAATTAAAACATACTGTCCAGTTTAAGATTGACAGATATATTAACTTTTTGTATTTGTTTTGAAATTACATCTGTAACCTCAAAAACTAGTATTTATGCATTCAGTGTCCTGCACTGTGGACTCTGCTGTATGTAAAAAGTACATCCCACTTTCCCTCCAAACACACCATGAGGCTTCTGCCTCCACTGCAGTTTTCAGAATGAGTGTCCTGCTTGTCTCTATTTCACATATATCTCAAAAGTTTATAAAATCTCTTATAATCTTTGTGCGTGAGTATGTGTTCATGTGTGTGTGTGAGTGCCGGTGTATAGGTACAAGCACACGTGTGTGCATATGCCTGTGGAGGCCGGAAGCTCATTTGTCTTCCTGAACTGTTCCTCCTCCCTCCTTCCTTCCTTCCTTTTGTGTGTATGTGTGTGTGTGTGGTATGTATGTGCGTGAGACAAGGAGAGAGAGAGAGAGAGAGCCCCAATGAGTTTCTGAGGGGGAATTTGCTTGTGAGAGCATGGGCACTTTAGCCGGTAGCTGTGCCATTGTCATCTTGTATCCATTTCTGATCTAGGATTACATGTGTGCCTTCCATTCCTGGCTTTTTACATGGATGCTGGGCATTCAAACTCCAATTGTGCTGTTTTCCCAGCCCCTCGTCAGAGTCTTCATTCTCTCTGAAGCAGCCTTCTGTGTCTGTTCCTTATGGCGTTCTCTTCAGCATTCGCCCAGATGCACGGAATGGTTGAGACAGCTCTCTTCTATGTCCAGCTTTAGTCTCTGACAGATAACTGTCCAGACGGCATGACTTTAGTACTTCAAAACGCCAGTTATTATAGCCTGCTAAATAATTAGTTGCAGGAAAAAAGTATCATAAACTAATATTCAGTTAAGGATGAGATGAATAATATTATATTCACATGAAAGTTTTCTATAATTCTTTCGACAGAACTCAGTCAGCACTTATTTATTAATATTTCTTCATATTTTTCAAGGCAACTTTTTATTTATTTTTTTATTTTTTTTAAAGATTTATTTATTTATTATGTATACAACATTCTGCCTCGATGTATGCCCACACGCCAGAAGAGGGTGCCAGATCTCAGTACAGATGGTTGTGAGCCACCATGTGGTTGCTGGGAATTGAACTCAGGACCTCTGGAAGAGCAGCCAGTGCTCTTAACCTCTGAGCCATCTCTCCAGCCCCCTCAAGGCAACTTTTTAAATGGCATTCATAAAGATAAACCAGAAGTTTTCTCATGTTGTAAGTTATTAACAGACAGTGTAGGTTCCTGTCTCTTTGCTGTGGTTGATCTGTTTGGCGTGAGGTAAGCAAGAAAAGAGCAAAGGCAAAGCAGGCTCATCTCGAGACAGCCGGGAACACTTCAGTCACCCTGCTTTTTGAGATTTACATGTTTGTTCTGAAAATTAGAAATTCTGGATTTCAGCATAAAAATTAGACATGTCTATAGAATGATTTTAAATTTTAAAATTGTATTGTGTGTGTGTGTGTGTGTGTTATAATCCAAAATAACCTAAAGACAGTGTCACAGCTGTGACATCACTAAAGATATTTGGGAGTGAGTCTCTGCAGAGACCTTGTGACGTCACTAAAGATATTTAGGAATGAATCTATGCAGAGACCTTGTGACGTCACTAAAGATATTTAGGAGTCTCTGCAGAGACCTTGTGACGTCACTAAAGATATTTGGGAGTGAGTCTCTGCAGAGACCTTGCCTTCAGTGAATGAACTTTTAAGTTGGCTCTTCTGTCTTTAACAGAACATTTTATCCTCGAGGTGAATTCATTGCCTTCAGCTGATTTTTTAAAATTATTCTGCAAGGTTTTTGAAATGCTCACAGCTAATCTTTTAGCAACAATGGGCTGCTAACAAAAATATAAACCTTAGCAAGCACTCCTCTCATTAGAGGAAGACGGTTGTGATAAGGTTCATTTTGTGTTTCCCTTTCTTGCATCCACACCTGTGCACACGTAGTGAGCTCACACACGTGTCTGCACTCACAGGCGCATGCTCTTTACAGGAAAATAACCTCTTTTTTTTATTTATTTGGTGTATGAAAATCCATTTTTTTTGTGCAGACAAAACCACCTACTCAAATCCATGCTTGCCGCAGGGTTTGAAACTGACGTGTCTTTCTCCTTTAGCAGGCAGAGTGGAAAACCTCTGTCCTGAAGACCTCTGTGGAGAGCGCTGTCTTGTTTGGCTCACTTCTTAGGAAGGCAGTTTAATGTCGTGAAAACCCTCCTGCACCTGTAGACTCGCGAATGTCTTCAGCGTCCAGTTAGAAAATGGAACCTGTTTTGTCTTGTAGGGGAAAGAGTGGTGGCCTTTGCTGCCGTGGAAGGCGTTTTCTTCTCTGGGTCATTTGCTGCTATCTTCTGGCTGAAGAAGAGAGGCCTCATGCCCGGACTCACTTTCTCGAATGAACTCATCAGCAGGGATGAAGTAAGGAAGGGCGTGTTCTTCCCTCGGCTTGTGTTACTGTGCTCCTTTAGTTTTCTTTCCCCTGGAGATCACGAAAAGGAAATAGAAATACACTTCTGCCTGGGCCTGCCAGACTCTGTGCTCCTTCCACAGCCGCTGTTCCTCCTTGGCCTCCACCTATCCTTAAATATGAATGTTGTAGATTCTTGCCTTGGTCTCCTTTGTCCTCATGGATTCTAAATGTTCACACGTCCTCCAGCCTTCTCTGGACTCCAGGCACTCTTTCCCGAGTTCCAGGCCTGCGTTCATGTGCCTTGTGAGTGTTGGGATTAAAAGAGTATACCATTATGCTTGGTTTGATTGGCCTCTTTTAACATTACTTACTGAATTTGTGATAGATAAATAGATAGATAGATAGGATGAGTATAATATGCAATTTCAATTTCATTGTATTTATTTTAAATATTTTCTCAAATGATCCTTTGATTTGAAAACCACGTATTGCATGTATTTATTTGTGTGTGATCGTCTATGTGTCTGTCTGCCTGGGTGGTACCTGCCATGGCACACATGTGGAAGTCAGAGGATACCACATTGTAGGAGTTGGGTCACCCCTGCCATGTTGGTTCCAGGGACTGAACTCAAATCTTCAGGTTTGGCAACAGAGTCTTTATCCATGGAACCATCTTGCTAGCCCTGGTGATTTTAAAGACAGGGTTCTCACGTCTCTCAGGCTGGTCTCAGGCTCAATATTTAGCAGAGGATGACTTTGACCCCTGAGGGCTAGAATCAGGGACATCAAACCAGTTTTATCCTGTGCTGAGGAACAAGATCAGGGCCTTAACCTTGCAAAGCAAGCGCTCTACCATTGAGCTATTTCCCGGTCCTCTTCCTTTTGAGATTTGGTTTTACCAAGTTGCTTAGACTGACACTGAACACATTCTGTAGCTCAGACAGGCCTTGATCTTTGATTCTCCTGCCTCAACTTCTCTAGTATCTGAGATTACAAGCCCGTACTTCAGTGGGCACTGCTGTCTATTGGTAGAATACATCTCAAAATGTTCATTTTAAAATGTCCTTCTAAGGTTATTCCCATTTATCCTTCCAGAGTAGCTTTTGGATTAAAAAGTACCAGGATTTTGATTGGAGTTGCTTTAAATTGCAAAGTTATTCATTTAGCGACCTGGCAGCTGTGCTTACTGTTGGTGTACTGGTCTCTGCAGTCATTAGCTAGCTGCCAGTTCTAATCAGCGTTTAGCATCTCTAATGCTGCCTTTGCTAAAAGCATTGTCCTGAGTCAACTCGGTGGGGGAAAAGTAACTAGTACAATCCCATGATTAGCTTGTCAAAGGGTATGGGTTTTATTTGTTTATTCAGATGGTTTTGCCAGAGAATGATTAGGTGGTATTCCTTGAAATACAGTCTTTGACATGAGGTTCTTTTCTGAGTGGCTGGTCATTTGTGGTGTTACTTAGCAAGACCTAAGTCATTCTGAATTGTAACCTCTTATAGGGAGCGTTCCTCTCCCATCCTTGGTCCCTTACAAAATTATTTCTTTCTTTGTAGTTTAAAAATATTAATGTACCCTACGTTGGAATTATGTTTTAAAAATTAATACTGTTGGGAAATCTATTGTTTTCCTGTATGTGGCCTTGTTTCCTCTTTCTGTTTTGGATTTGTGGAAATTCCCTGTTTTTTGGGAATTTTTAGCTCTGATTTGGAGTCCTGAGTGCTGGCTAACGCTCTTCCATCTGTTCTGCAGCTACTTCAGGTTTTAGAGTAATCATTGATCTGCAGGATCATTTTGTGCTCGAGGCTGTTCCTGTGTTTATTTTCCTGATTGAGTTATTTCCTGTGGCTTCAGGTGGCCTGTACCCTGCTTTTCCATTTGCATTTCACCAAGTTCTTTTTTCTCTAGCACTGTTAACTGCAGCAAACACTATTTTTCTGGAGTCTCTGTAAGTGCTCCTGCACTAGCTGTTTTCCCTGTTGTGAGAAAAACCCTGACCAGAAGCAACGAAGGAATGGAGGGAGGGCGGGTAGGCGGGCTTGTTTGGGTCATAGGTCAAGGGTCATAGGTCCATCGCAGCAGGGAAGAAAGAGGCAGCACCAGCTGGTCCTGTCGCATCCGCATCCCCGGTTAGCTAGTATCCCCGGTTATGAAGCTGAGAGTGCAGGGTACTGGTGTCCAACTCACTGCCTGCTTTTTATTCAGTGCAGGACCCCAGTCTGTGGAATGGTAGGGAATGGTACCACCTGCAGTAGGGGTGGGTCTTCCCACTTTATTAGCCTAATACAGAAAAATCACAGATGTCTCAGAGATGTGTTTCTATGGTGATTCTCAGTTCCATCAAATTGGCAACCATGATTCATCACCGTGACTAATTACTGTTCCTCAATTATTCTTTAAAATTTTTACATTTAAAAATTAATCATGGAGCCGGGCGTTGGTAGCGCACGCCTTTAATCCCAGCACTCGGGAGGCAGAGGCAGGCGGATCTCTGTGTTCGAAGCCAGCCTGGTCTACAAGAGCTAGTTCCAGGACAGGAACCAAAAGCTACAGAGAAACCCTGTCTCGAAAAATCAAAAAAAAAAAAAAAAAAAAAAAAATTAATCATGGTCGGGCGGTGGTGGCGCACGCCTTTAATCCCAGCACTCGGGAGGCAGAGGCAGGCGGATCTCTGTGAGTTCGAGGCCAGCCTGGTCTACAAAGGGAGTTCCAGGACAGGCTCCAAAGCTACAGAGAAACCCTGTCTCGAAAAACCAAAAAAAAAAAAAAAAAAAAAAAAAATCGGTTTTTCTTGTCGCATCTTACATTGTTTCCTTTCCAAAATGTTTTTGTTACAAATTTTTTGGTTTGTAAATTAGTATTAATATCACAAAATGTTAATAATATAAAATGTTAAAAAAGTAAAATTTACTATGGTTAAAAGTTTCTATATAAGTTATGGCCTTGGCATTCAATACAGTTTGGAGGGGAGAGGAAACTCCTTGTTCCTACTTCACACAGCACAATGACACATTGTGTAAGTTTTTAATGGACGTTCTTTGACATCAGCGCTTGTCCTCTGTTTTAGGGGCCTTCACTGTGACTTTGCTTTTTTAATGGACGTTCTTTGACAACAGCGCTTGTCCTCTGTTTTAGGGGCTTCACTGTGACTTTGCTTGCCTGATGTTTCAGTACTTGGTAAATAAACCTTCAGAAGAAAGGGTCAGGGAGATCATTGTCGATGCCGTTAAAATTGAGCAGGTAAGCGCGGGGAGCTTAACGTAGTTATTAGTACATCTGGTTATCACGTGACTGCATCCTATTTTATATTCAGGTTTTTTGCTCTATTTTTATTTGGTTTCAGTGCATGCATGTTTTGCCTGCATGTCTTTCTATGCTCCGCATGCTTGCCTGCTGCCCACAGAGTCCAGCAAAGGAGAACAGATCTCCTGGAAGTGGAGCTGCGCATGGTTGAGGTCCCTGTGGGTACAGAAGAGCAGCCAGTGCTCGAGGGAGCTGCCTTTCCCGTCCCTGCAGTTTGCCTTTAAATATTGTTTTGAAATGGTACTGTGTGGGCTAGCCTTGAACTCCTGGACTAATTCAGTCCTTCTGCCCCACCCTCCTGGCACTGAGATACTGTGCCCAGAGGCATTTGACTAGTAAGTTGTAGTTTGTATGTCAATATCAGCAAATTCATGTAGTTCAATCTGACAGTGTCTTGGTTCTTTTCCATTGCTGTGAAAAAACGCCAATTTATAGAAGAAAAACATTTAATCTGGGGCTCAAGGTTGTAGAATTCATGACTATCATGGCAGGGAGCATGGCAGTAGGCAGGCGTGGTGCTGGGGTATCCCCAGTGACACGCCTCCTCCAACAAGGCCATGCCTCCTAGTTCTTCCCAAACAGTTCCACCAACTGGGGACCAAGTATGAAAATACATGAGCCTCTGGGGGCTGTTCTTATTTAAACCACTGACATATGATGTATTGAAATTGTTACCTCAGTTTATAATTTGGTTAAAAGTCAGTCTTTATTACATATCAGGGTTTTTTGTGTATCTTGTTTATTTCAGGGCTGTATTTTTGTTTTAAATTCATTTGCTTAAATTTAATTTATTTAAATTATATATTTATATAATCATACAAAGTTATATAGATATATAATTAAAATTATATTTAATTTCTTTTGAATATGATCACATAGCAAACATTTTAATTATTATAGCTTCTTAGTTTTATATCTTTAACTACTAGAAAGGGATGGTAAATTCTTTTTGTTTTTTTGTTTTGTATTTTCGAGACAGGGTTTCTCTGTAGCTTTTTGGTTTTTGTCCTGGAACTCGCTCTTATAGACCAGGCTGGCCTCGAACTCACAGAGATCCGCCTGCCTCTGTCTCCCAAGTGCTGGGATTAAAGGCGTGCACCACCACCGCCCGGCGGTAATTTTTGTTTTAATATGTAGCAGGCTGCCCAGCTGAAGCACAAGCCAAACATTCACACAGTGAATCAGGAAGTGAATTAGAGTAAAACTTCATTTATGGCGTGTGAATGTGGTGCCTGGAAGCCGCTTGATAGTCTACTTAACAGTGCACTCCAAAGAGCTAACTCAAAAATGGGATTTGCTCGACTGACTTTTGAACAGCGTGTAGTTATAGGCAGGGTTTTCATGCTGTTGGGAGAAATGTGTTTGTGTTTTGGCATCTTCGTACCATTTTGAGGATGAGTTTCCTGGTTAATATGCTTTTCCTTTCCCTCCGTTAAAACTTTATCACTGTCTTCAACTGCAGTTGGATTTCAGTATATCTCCCGACCTCCACACCCGTGTCTAATTCCACACTCTGTAATTACTGTCCTTTTCCTGCCTCGCTTCCCACGGTGGTGTCTCTGAAGCTTTGTCTGGAAACTTCAGGACAGAGCATTGCCATTTCCCTGTTGATGAACTCCAGGAGTCAGGTCCTATAACACTGCTTTAAAAGATCCAGTAATTCGCTATTTTCTATTTAATTTTGGCCCCCTGAGAAGTTGAAATCATGTAATTAGTAATATCCCAAACATTTGTAAACAGATGGCCATCACCCGTCGTGTTAATTTATCCTGGCATACCTACCTCCAGCAAAGCAGTGTCTAGAATACGAATAAAGCTAAATTCCTGTGCCTTGTCCATTCCTCTGGGAGAACCTGTTCGTGGTTCAGAAGGTGCAGTCTCTCCCAGCAAGGAAGGTTCCAGCAGGAGCTCAGAGCACCCTCCTTCCAGTGTTGGCAGACCAGAAAGTAGAGTTGGGATGGGAAGAAGGCCCTCAGAGTTCACGCCTAGTGACCCATGACCTTTCTAAACAGTGGTATCAGGAAGGAACCAGGTGTTCAAATACATGAGCCTGTAGAGGACATTTCAAATTCAAATCATTGTACTCCATGTTTGGGAATGTATACTTATTGTTATGTGTTTGGATCTGATTCTGGTTTTGTTTGTGTCCCAGGAGTTTTTGACAGAAGCTTTGCCTGTCGGCCTCATTGGAATGAACTGTGTTTTGATGAAACAGTATATTGAGTTTGTAGCTGACAGATTACTTGTGGAACTTGGCTTCTCTAAGGTAACTAAAGTGTTTTAAATCATGTTAATGACCTGTCTTGGTTACTGTTATGTCACTGTGAAGAGACACCGTGACCAAGGCAGCTTAAGAAAGAAAGCACATAATGGGTCCTGCCCACAGACAGGAGGCAGAAAGAGAGCGGCTGGACCTGGCACGGGCTTTTGAAACCTCAAAAACACACCCCCCCTCAGTGACACACCTCCTCCCGCAGGGCCACACCTTCTCTTCCTTCCTTGGTAGCCCGCACGCCTGGAACCGAACACTGGAATATAGGAGCCGCTGGGCTCCATCCTCGTGCAGACCACACACCACCAGCAGGGTTGCAGGCCAGTGAGCCTCTCACGTTTGCTCTCCTGAAAGCACACGTAACACGCTAGTCTCCTTTAAACACGTGACAAGCTGGATGTGCGATGCCCACCCATAATTCTGGCATTCTAAGGCAGAAGGATTCAAGTCTGTGGACAATGTGGGTCACGTAGCCCATTTCTGACGGATAAGAAAATAAAATGTGTAGGACACAGCCTTGTTTTGTAAGAAAAAAAAAATGGTTTGTCAAGATCCTTTGAAACTTAAAATGAAGTTGGTGACAGCCGTCGCAAGCCCTCCACGCCTTAGAGGGGCAGCGTGGCCCTGCAGGTGCCTGGGTAATGGGGACCTGTCCTGGCTTCTCTTGTCTTTGCCTTGTTGTGCAGTGTGATTGGATTCTTCTAATCTCTAAGACATTTCTCTTCTTTCTAGGTTTTCCAGGCAGAAAATCCCTTTGATTTTATGGAAAACATTTCGTTGGAAGGGAAAACGAATTTCTTTGAGAAGCGAGTTTCTGAGTATCAGCGTTTCGCAGTCATGGCGGAGACCACGGACAATGTCTTCACCTTAGATGCAGACTTTTAAATCTCTCCCCAGTTAAAATACCACAGAAGCCGGATATGGCGGCGCATGCCTTTAGTCCCAGCACTCAAGGAGGCCAAGGCAGGTGGAGTGTGGGGACTGTCGGAGCTATGTATAGAGATCTGTCTCAAAACCCAAACAACAGCAGCAAGAGCAAACTAACAAACAAAACCTTGTTGGGAAAATAGCAATTTATTTTTCTGTCTTTTTGAAACGTTGAGTATTTCCTTTAAGGAAATGAGAGTTTGAATAGAAGGAAATCAAGAACTAAATTACAAACCGTTGATTTATCGAAATGCACTTCATTTATTTATACAGTGAGAGGGCGTGGCTTTTTCTTTATTCGTTAACACATAAGATGGCATTAAGAGCCTGGATTGAGGAGTCATATATGAGTTTGACATCCTGCCCTTATTCCTTTGTGTGACCTTGGCAGGTCAGTCAGTCACTGTAATGTTCAGGGCAATGATCTGTAAACTTGTATGATAGTAAGCCCCAAGTTCATGGAGGTCACAGAAGAACAGATACACAAGGATAAGTTTCCCTCCACTACCTCGACGACCAGTCAACGCCAACGGTACGACTGGTTGCAGTGCACTCCTCTCCAAAGTGACTGTGATTCTAGGTTAGATGGAGATCCAGAGTCCATTAGGGTCTAATGTTGCAGGAAGAATATGAGAATACCTTGAGAGGTCATGATTCTCATCAGCCCCTTTGCTTGTCTCAATCTGCGGTAAAGAATGTAGCTCATAACTGCTTAGGGCAGAAGGCTTGTGGAACAGAGTCCACACGTTGCCATGGTTGTGGGCCTTAGGAAAAAAGTGATTCTCCTTCGGGAATTAAAAAGCCAACTGTTGCCAGGTGCAGCCCTGGAATGTTTAGAACCAGGATAGATGGGCACTTCCCAAAGTCATATTCTCAGAGCTGGTAGATCTTACAATGTTTTGTGATAGACTTCATTTGTATGTCTTTATACTTTAAATCTCTCTACAATGTTATGAAGGGATGGTCTTTAATGGGACTGTGTATGCTGCAGAGCTAGATGATAAGGGAGATGGAATGGCCAGGAGCCAGGCCGCCTGGGCAGTGTGCCCTCTTCATTTTCAGGAAGCACCAAGAGGAAGCCTGAGCCCCATCAAACCCCGGTTCCTACTCAGTGAAGTGCCTGCTGCCCAAACATGAGGGCCCGAGTCCAGATCCCCGGCAGCTCCATAGAAACCATAGCAGCACATGCTCACACGCCACACACTTGTATGTGCACATACACAGTGCACACACACACAGTACACACAGTACACACACAGTGCACACACATGGAATACAAACAAAGTTCTGGAAACTGAAATTTAGAGATTTCTCTCTATGTAAGTTTTGTTCCATGTGTTCTCTAACTACTGATTGATCAAACTAGGAACTCTAAATGAATGCAAGAGAGGCGGCATAGTTCCACTGTTAGAGGGCCTATCAGAAATGAAGTGTTTGGGTTATAGTCAGATTGGTTTTCTTGCTGTGTGCTTCCCACTGGTCATGTGGTCACCCGATGCCCTTCTAAGCCTGCCAACACCTGTTACTAAAACATGGAGAGAGGGGTGAGGGTCAGAGAAGCTGAAAAACATAGCCATGATTCCAGCCACTGTCCTTTTACTGTGAGATTCTGGGGCTGTCACATCTTTTAACTTTCATCCATTGTGATTAGTTTTGCCTGTTCCTTTGTTAAAATATTGCATACATTATTGCACACCATAGCAATACTGTTTACGGTACTTTAGAGTATCAGAGTATCAAAGAGCTTGGAGTGTTCGGGTAGCATGTTTCAAGATACTTAGCTACTGCCATACAAAACCATCTAAAGCTGTAATCATCTCAGACTGAAAGACGACAGTTCAACTGTGCATGGCCCCAAAGTTTAAGTCCAGATCTTCCGCGTGAGTCGTGCCGGTGCCTTCATGTGATGCCTGCTCACAGCAGCAATAAGCAAAGCTGTGGGGGGCTGGAGAGATGGCTCAGTGGTTAAGAGCATTGCCTGCTCTTCCAGAGGTCCTGAGTTCAATTCCCGGCAACCACATGGTGGCTCACAACCATCTGTAATGAGGTCTGGTGCCCTCTTCTGGCCTGCAGACATACACACAGACAGAATATTGTATACATAATAAGTAAATAAATATTTAAAAAAAAATAAGCAAAGCTGTGTTTAGAAGAAGTCTTAATATCAAAAAACTGAATTTTAATACACGGTAATGTTGCTCCATTCAGTATTCTGCACCCATCAGTCCCCCAAGTTCCACATTTATTTATTACGTCTATTTTGGTCCTTAGATATGGAAGAATCATGAAGTTACAGGATGTATCATGTATCACGGGTAAAGATACATGATATGTATGGCTCTTCTCTTTTTTCCAGCACATGTGTTTCAAAGAAATTCAGTTTATCGTAGAATCATAAACAACTTTGTCATAACAGTAGTTCCACTTCACGCTTCAGCATGTAGACGCATGGTGTGGAGCAGCATTGGACCAGTTTATTTCAGTGCTTTCTGCAGGACTGAATTTCAGTAATAAATACTTACTTTGTGATGTAATCCACTCCCAGCCACACCGCTATCTGAAGATGTTACAGTGTTTCATTTTAAAATATCCAGATTCTACTTCTGTCACCACTTTATTATGTTTTGTTTTCCTTCTTTTAGTTGGAATTCATCACGCAGTCTGGCCTGGATTGTACTCTTGAGCCTCCTGCTCCAGCCTCCCAAATAGGCATTATAGGCTGTGTGCCACCATGCCCAGATATAACTTTATTTTTTGTGATAAAGAAGATGTGCATGTTCAAAAATAATTTAATATTCAGATTATGTATTTTATATTTAAATATATTTATGTCATTCTCATAGACTCTCCAGATTTACTTTTCACAGCTAAGCTAAGAGCTCAGTGTCATGCCAGTGATGATGAAACTTTTGGTGGGCTGCACTAAAGGCAAATTAGCTCTAAGATCACGTGTCATGTTTTGAACTAATTGAGAGTTGGAAGCCAGCTCAGGCAGAACGTGGGGTGCAGTACTGAGAAGTGAGATTGTAATTCTCGTCCCTTCCTTAAGGGATCTGCTCCTTTGTAAAGTGCCCTGGGTCTGCAGGAGAATCTGCTATTCCTGAAGGCCTAGTGGGAGAAGTCGCTCTTCACATTTGTGACCTAACTATGTGAAAGAAAACATGTAAACCAGGAAGACCAGAGGATGACTTTTTTTTTTTTTTTTGGTAAAGAAAAGTAAGTTCACAATATTTTAAACATGTATTTAACTATTTTACAACTTTGTTTTGACTTTTCTAAGTGTCTGATCACTTAACAAAATCTCAGCATCTGCCATGTGTGTAAGAAGCTTTATGAGACATGGTGTTCCTAAATATATTTTGTTAAAATACATTATGGTCAATCAAACCGACCCTGCTTATAGAGACTCAGGGTTTTTTTCCACCAAAAAATTATCTGTTTTGTAAAGTTTGTTGAAATAAACTGTATCATTATATCATTTTGTGTGTGTTTTTTGGGGGGTAAGACCATTTTTTATTCGTGCAGACTACCTCAGTCCCAACCAAGGGGCATGCACTGTCTCTCCTGTGTGTGCAGGTCAGTGCACGCCATACAGAAGAACTCTGGAAGGCATTTCTTCCCTCCCCAGATCCCACCACACAAGAAATAGCCTGACTTTCTGAAGGTCGGAGTTTGGGTTTGCCTCCAGCTATTAGCTCTCTTCCTCAAGGGACGAGGCAGTCAAGAAACTGTTCACAACTGGGTGGGTCTCTGTCAGCTGCTGGATTCAGGGATCAACAGAACGGTTGATACTCATGACTTCACGGAGCTGAAAGGCAAAGTGTTCTCTCTTATGGAGCCCGAGTGTGCACTGTCCTTTTCCTGAGAGCCCCTTTCTCTCCCTTAATGTCTGCAACCAATCTATGTTAAAAGCATTTTTCCATGAATTCCAGGTCATGGCTTAAACTTCATTTTGATATGATAACCAATGTCCTGAAGTGTTGGGACCATTTGGAGTCCTGGCCTCCAGCTGCTCTTCCCTGCTAGAGATCTTTACTTTCCTTCTGATATGAGTTACTGAAAGCTGTGCCAAAGTTGTTTACCAGCTCTGCTTCATGAGCACGTGTTGCCTTGGCCTTGAGGATCAGAGGATGAGGTTTTCACCTGTTGGCCCGCCAGACTGTGTTGGGTATATAAGCCTCTGTGGAGCTATTCAATAAGAGGCTTCTTTATCAATGACTAGAGGTGTGTGTCTCTGTGTGTTTGAATCTCCAGCCCCTTGCCCGAGGCCCACGGACTGTATGATACACATAGAGTGAAGTTGGGCGTTGTGCGCTACACTGAAGATAAAAATATTTTTCTCCACTGTGAGTCTTTATCCACTCTTAGCATTGAGTATGTGATTAATCATTTTAATTCTGAAATTTCTGTTTTCTCAGACTTGGAAACTTTCCCATGGTATCTCCTGTTCATGTTGAAAGTACTGTTAATTGAAAAAGTCCTTAGATTATCTGTTTCACATTCTAGATTTCCTCAATGTTAGTTCCAGCCCTTCAATTTTGGTTTTATTCTTTTATCCTATTTTTAAAATGTTATTTTACAGTGTGGTGGTTTAGATAGGAATGATCCCATAGACTCATAGTTTTGAATGCTTGGTCCCTGGGGAGTGGCACTGTTAGAAGGTGTGTCCTTGTTGAGGTAGGTGTGTCCTTGTTGGAGGAATGTGTCATTAGGCTTGGGCTATGGGGTTTCAAATGCGCAAGCCAGGCCCAGTGTCTCTCTCTTCCTGTTACCTGCAGATCCAGATGTAGAACTCTCAGCCACTTCTCCAGCAAGCACCATGTGTGCCTGTGTACCTACCGGCATGCTTCCTGCCATGATGACAGTGGACTAAATATGTGAACCTGGAAGGCAGGTTGAAGCCTTCAGCTCCATCTGTGTCCATCAGAGCACTAAGTGAGAGAGTGCTATGTTCTGGCCCAGGCTTCTGCTATCTACTGTGCCGAGTCCCACACTGCAATCCCTCCACTTCTCAGCATTCTTTGCTGCTCTTCACTCCTTGTCTTTTAACCAGCATGTTTGCCAGCATTGATGGGGACTCAGATTTCATGAAAAAGTCACTTATGGTGGTGCCTACCGGTCGTCACAGCAAGATGCGGGGCGTTTGAGTCGCTGGCCTATAGAGCTACACTGTCTCAAAAGTTTCATGTAGGCGTTTCTTTAGCAAGACATCCTTTTTGTTTTTGTGGGAGGTATGTGTGTGTAATTAGCATATGCTGTGTAATATGTAATCACATTATTAACAATTAAGGTCAGAAGGAAACAATTTGTGTTTGCCAATAGTCAGATATAAGGGAAATTGGGACAATTTGGCACAGGCAACAAAGCCTGCTATAACTTGTGAATGCATTACTCAATAAAGACATTGTGGACAGACCCCCCCCCCCCCCCCAAAAAGGTGGATCCTTCAGTTTGGCTCCATGGAACCCATAAGAATTCTTTGGGTTTGTGAAAACAGAAGTTTTTGACTTATACATTGTATAAACAGTAGCATATTTATGTCAGAATGACAGTGACAGATGTTTTTGCACAATGGAAAGTACTTTTAAGACTAAGGAAGACAGCGTGAGAGAGAAATTTGATAACTTGTATTTATCTTCACACCTTTATAACTTGCAGGTCTTGTATTTGTATTTTACTGAAATTTGTTTGGTGAAGTTGTCCTTTTAAACTGACAAAACCTCCCAGCTGTCAAACTGCACCAGAGATCTTTGAGGAGGATAAAATTTTACTTGAGTTACTGATTAAAGAATGACAGAGAACTTACTTGGTTGGCACCTAGAGCTACTCCTCAGGGTCCTTCATGGCACCAATATAATGGTAAAAGTAAAATGTTGCAGGTTCCTGAGTGGCTGCAGCAGCAGAAACAGGAACCTGCAGCGTTGTCTCGTGGCATGCCCATCTGTTTCTCCTTGTGGGACTGGCTGCCCCATTGAGGTCTCTCACCCACCATGTGGCTCCCTGCCTGGGACTGGCTGATCTTGGGATCCACTGCCTGCTGCCACTTTGGGGACCTGCAGTGTGGTCTCATGGCCCGTGGCCCACTGCAGCCGCTTGGGGACCTGCAGCATTTTACTTTTACTATTACATATGTGGCATGCAGGCAGACGTGGTGCTGGAGAAGGAGCTGAGAGTTCTACACCTTTGATTCTCAGGCAACAGAAAGTCAACTGAGATACTAGGCATGGCTTGAGCATGGGGACCTCAAAGCCTGCCACAACAGTGACATACTTCCTCCAACAAGGCCACACCTACTGGTACAAAGCTACACCTCCTAATATTGCCACTCTGAATGAACTTTTGGAGGACACTTACATTTAAGCTACCGCATTCCTCACCCTGGCCCCCATAAGCTTGTAACAATATCATAATGCAAAATGCATTTAGTCCAACTTCAAAAGTCCCCACCATCTATCACAGTCTGAACAATGTTTTAAAGTCCAACATTCAAAGTCTTTTCTGAGATTACAGTTGAAATCTGCCAGGTGCACACTTGAGTGATCTGAGTAACAGTGGAGACATTGGCCGTGATCTCAGCGGTCTGAGTAACGGTGGGGATGTTATGTTGGCCGTGATCTCAGCGGTCTGAGTAACGGTGGAGACGTTGGCCGTGATCTCAGCGGTCTGAGTAATGGTGGGGATGTTATGTTGGCTGTGATCTCAGCGGTCTGAGTAACGGTGGAGATGTTGGTCCTGATCTCAGTGGTCCCTCATCAAGAATGCTAGGGTTCAAGGTTTGTGAATAAGAATGTACCCTTCATTGTATCTTGAAATTTTCTTTTTTGGCATAATTAGCATTTATGAAAACCTTGTCACCTCCAGGGTAATTTTGCAGTATCATTGGTAAGAGAAATGGCACTCTTGTCTAAGCCCGTACCGTATCTGCAACAAGACTCCAGTCAAGGGGGCATGGCTCAAAGTCCCTTCATCCATTCACTGAGGGTGCCCAGATTTCTTTCCTACTGCCAGGGGTACTCCAAAAGATCCCTTGAGATGTGCACACTCACAATGCTCCGTTGGCAGGTGTCACCTAAGGTTTCATCTGTCTCTCTAGGGGCTGCAGCACAACCTGCTAAGCATCCGATTACACAGGGGTGGAGGGGCTTGTCTGCTGGAGCAGCTGGAGCAGTTGGAGCACAGTAGTGTGTGTGTGGACGCCTCACCTGAGGGTAATTGATATCTGTTTGCTAGTCATATCTGGAGAATAAATCTCCATGGGAAAGATGAAAGAAAAGTAATTTTATTTCAAAGTACCAGGTGCAAGTAAACACGGTGTGCCATGTCTGAGTCCCAGCATGGGAGTTAATGACAGCCGGGGCTGTGTCATCACAGCCTGCCCTAACAAAACAACCAAAGCCCCTAAATGACAACAAAATGAAACCCCACACACCTGAACACCAGGTGGGATGGAATGCACTATAATCTCAGCACTCGGGAAGCTGGGGGTAGGAGAACCTGAAACAGCTGGTTACACCTATGGTCAGAAGGAAGCAACAGATGCTCGCATGATAACCCCACTGCTTTCTCCGCACCTATAAACCCAGGATCCCCTGCATAGGCCACAGTGCCTCTCACAGGGACATATCTTCTCATCTCAGTTGATGGAATCAAGATTAGCCAGCACAAGATAGGCATGCCCAGAGGCCCATCTCATGGGTGAGTCTAGATTCCGTCAGGCTGACAACGCTAACCAAGCGTCCTACTTGGCTGACTCCTCGAATCTCAAGGGCTCACAGTGTCCCTGGCACAGTTTACCGAGAGCAGAGATAGCATCAGCCTTCCTATCTCTGTGTAGACAAGCACAT